AGAGGAGAGGAGAGGAGAGGAGAGGAGAGGAGAGGAGAGGAGAGGAGAGGAGAGGAGAGGAGAGGAGAGGGCCGTGGGTCTGTCCCAGAGCCTGGTTTCGGGCTGCCCGAGGAGCACCTCTCTTTGAACCCCGCTGGAGAGGAGCCCGGCCAGCCTGGCAGCCGTGGCTTGCTGCCTGCGCCAGGATGTCACGCTGACATTTATGGGCAGTGAAAGTTTCTCCAGAGCAGCTTTCCCACAGACAGCAGTCCGAGGTGAGCACAGTGCTCAGCGAGCCCCCTCGCTGTGGGGGGCTCTCCCTCTGCAGGAGCAAAGCGCAGGCAGCCAAGGCTCTGGCAGCAGCAGGAGTGGCTGCTCCCTGCTTCCCTGGAAAACGCTGGTGCCTGCAGGCATGGGAGAGAGCCTGAAGCCCCCAGGGAAGTGGTCCTGAAGGTTGGGGGCCTGGTGGTGCAAAGTGCAGCAGCTCTGGGAGGGTTTGGAAAAGCAGTGCTGAGAGCTGATGTGCGGCAGGTTCCGTCAGTGCTCCCCCAGCGTGTGTTCCTCGCTGCTTTATTTAGTGGTAACAGATCAATTGTGTCTTCCTGGGAGCACAGGACGACAGGAGCAAGGTCAGCCTCGACTTACCCCACACATTCAATTCAGGTTACATTCTCAGGGTGGCAGACAGGTTCTAAAGTGTTGCAAGCTGCAAGGAATCATCTTTCCTGTGAGTGTCCGCTTGCAGCACGCCGCAGGCTCAGACGAACCTGCAGAGCCAAGCATCCCTCTGCCAACTCCTGCTCCAGGGGGACAGCTCCTGTCCCCTGGGACACTCCTGCTTGTGAAGTCCCCTCTGGAGCATCCCCAGGGCTGCTCTAGCAGTCTGACAGCTGCAGGAGATTCCATCTGCCGGGAACCACTCCCTGGCGTTGGCTCCGGCCTCTCAGCAAAAGGAGGAGTGCTTCTGTAAAGTTAAATAACTCCTCGCCTGCAGTGCTTGCAATGCAGCACTGCAGCAGGGCCCGGAGCCCAGGATGCAGGGCTCTCGGGCTTGGCTCCGGCTGCGACGTGCCTGGGGAGTTGTTAGCACCGGCTTGTGTGGGAGAATAAATCAGCAGCTGAGGCGGCTGCAGAGAGAGGCGAATCCCAGACTGAGGGCAGCGTGTCCGAGTGAAGGTGTTGGGGCATCACCGTGTAGCCTGGGAAAAGCTGTGACCCCTGGATTTGGTGCCCAGGGAAAGCTCTGCAGGGGCAGCCGAGGTCTGGGAAAGGGGAGGACAGAGCTGTGCTGGGCCGTGTCACATCTGAGCCATGCCACATCACACAGACAGGATGGGGCAGTGCTGGGATGGGGATGGGGATGGGGATGGGGATGGGGATGGGGATGGGGATGGGGAGTGGGTTTGCTCCTCTGGCCGGGACCAGAGCATCCCTGTGCTCCCAGAAAGGATCTGTGGGGACAGTGGTGGCCCAGCCCAGTGCAATGCCAGCCCTGCACCCCAGGAGTGCTCAGCTGCAGCTGGGCTCCTCCCCGCTCCTCTCTCCCTGCTCGCGGGGAGCCCAGGAGTGGGAGAGCTGCATCCTGCACTTTGAAGGTCATTGGCAGCTCCGGAGGGAGCCGGGGCTCTCTCTGCTGGGCGTGAGGGGGCTGCTCCGGAGGGCAGGGCAGGGCGAGCCGGTGGCAGGCGGCCAGGCCAGCCACGCTAATTACTGCTCCAGCTCCCGCCTGAAGAACAGAGCTCTGCTTCGCCTTGGCTTTTTTCTCCCCCTTTGAGGCCTGTGGATAACATGCAAATCAGGGCTCTCATCTGCACGCTCTCTTCCTGGGGATATTCTGGTTCCCTTGAAGCTTTGCTGTCTCTGCGGGTGACCCAGCCCCGGTCCCTGCAGGTCCCTCTGTCACCGAGCCGTCCTAGGGCTGGGACAGGAGCCTTTGCTCCTGCCATGGCAACCTGGTATGCCAAAGGGGACGAGGGGTGACAAAGCCTCGGCCTCACTCTCTCCTCCCCTCTCCCTGCCAGGTTTGCACGTCTTCGCCATTGCCTTCGCCTTGGAGGTGTCGGTGGGGAAGACCAACACGGTGACGGCTCTGAACAACTCCAATGTCCTGCTGCCCTGCGTCTTCACCACCTGCATAGGCTTCCAGGACCTGGTCTTCACATGGTATTTCAACACGACAGAGCTGGTGAGTGGCTCTCTGGGCTCTGCCTCTGCTTCCCTGGCAGGTGCTGTTGTGCTTCCAGTGCAGCTCGGTGCTGCAGTTCTCGCAGTTCTCCTCGTGCAGGATTTCCTTCTCTCCGTGTCACCAGCTCTGGGGAGGACAAGGCTGTGCCAGCGGGGTGACTTAAATATACCCTAGAACATCGTGCTTTTGGCACAAAGCTGTTCTAGATTTGCTGCTGCCCGTGGGCTCATTTGTTTTCATAAATTGGCTGTTCAGGTGCAAATCTGCACTTAGGGCAAAATATGGTTCATTTCCTCTTCCTTTGCTTGCTTTGAAATATGAAAGGTTCTGTATAGATTTGCTTCCCGCTGGGAATATTTGGCTCTTCAATTCCTCAGAAGGAGGGCTGGTTTGGAGCAGTTCTGGCCAGCAAAGGAGCTCGCTTTCCCTGGGGATCTCCCATTTTTTGCATGGTCTGCTCCATCTCTTCAGGGCAGGTTGGACCTGCTGCTTCCCAGCAGGATGTGCACCAGGTTCCTCTCCATGGCCGCTCCTGGTGTAACAGGGTGAATGGGACATTTGGTGGGACATTTGGGGTGTCTGCGTGTGCAGAGCTGAGCCTGGGCACCATCAGGAGAGCGTGAGCCTTTCCCTCAGGCAGCCGCTCCTGCCCCCCGCCTCTGCAGATTTACCACGGCAAGATAAAGAACAAAGCCACGGAGCCCACCCTGGTGTGGCACAACCCGCGGGTGGAGTTCGTCGGCTCCACCACCAAGAAGGACAACAACATCTCCATCGTGCTGAACAACGTGGAGTTCAGCGATGCTGGCAAGTACACCTGCCACGTCAAGAACCCCAAGGAGAAGAACACCCAGCACAACGCCACCATCTTCCTCACCGTGGTCCATAAGAGTGAGTGCTGGCCATGGCACGGGCATGGCCCTGGGCTGGTGATAATGCCCACAGACGGTGCCAGGCTCTTTGGTTCGCTGTTGTGGTGGGGCATGGAGGTGGTTGGCACCCCTGGAAGCCTCGGGTGGGGGTGTGGGAACCCCAGGCTTACTCTGGGGTCCCATGTGCTGGTGAAATTTCTCCTTCACCTGTGCTTCCAAAGAAAAACTGTGCAGGCTCTTGTTGTTCGGTCTCAAGGCAGTTTATTGTCAGTTATCTGAAAGATTTTCTTCTCGGGCTGTTTGGTCAGCAGCCCGGGCAGAGGCACACACACACCCTGACATCCTCTCTGACTCCCGACTGCTTCTTCTCTCCCTCCGCCCAGGGCTGCTGCTATCTTTTGTATGATATATTACGTATTACATGTTTATAGTTTTCCCCCAATACCTACTACCTATGTTACAAAGTGCTTTTCTACTCTAAACCAATCTCTGAGTGCCAACGTCACCAAGAACATGGAGGCAAGGAAAAGGAAGGAGGAAGAACAGGATCAGCCCACTTTCCTCCATCTTAGAACTCCTGACCCCCATGTGCAAAGTAAAAACCCCCCTGGACAGGTGCTAAAACCCCTCTATGCAATACTAAAAAAAATTTCCCCTCTACTTTTACTATACTATCTAACCTTTTGTGACTGCTTGTTCCACCTCCAAAGTTGGTAATTCATTCCATGGCTCAAACTTAAAATCACAGCTGTTTCCAGCTGCCTGCCAGGGTCTAAAATACTTCTGACCAAGGCCTGGAACCTCTAAAGATGTCTGAGAGACATTCTGAGTTCCAACATGGGGGGGTTATGGGTTTTTGGGGTGGGATGTGCAGCTGGGAGCTCCCCGCTCCCCTCCCGAGCCCCCTCAGCACCTTCTGTCCCGCAGTGGTGAAGACGGACAACACTGTGACGCTCATCATCGTGGGCGTGGTGGGGGGGCTCATCGGCCTCCTCATCCTCTTCATGCTCATCAAGAGGGTGGTCCTGTTCATCATCAAGAAGACGCAGGACGGGAAGTGAGTGCGGGGTGCTGCCGCGGGGCCGGGGGAGCGGGGCCGGGCTCGGGGGGCTGCCAGCTGCCCGTGCGCTCTCCCTGTGCAGGAAGGAGTGTCTGGTGAGCTCCTCGGGGAACGACAACACCGAGAACGGCCTGGCCGGCTCCAAGGCGGAACAAAAAGCACCACCAAAGGCATGAACGAAGCAGCGGCGCCCCGTGCCCGCCTCGCCCCGCCGCGGGTGCCCGGGCACGGGACGAGCCTTCCTCTTTTGTTTTCTTTCCGAACTGCCAGCGCTTGAGACATGTTTCTATTACACACGTGCCTGCAACCTGCACTGCTTCTCGGACAGGGCTGCGGCTGCCGGGGGGACTGGGAGCTTCTCGTGGACTTAGACTGGGAGGCTGCTGGGGCACAGGAGCTGCCGGCTCCGCTCTGAGCACAGGCAAGAAGAGACTGCGGGGCAGGGCAGGGCAGGGCAGGGTGGGTGCCATGCCTGGGGCCGGGTGCTGGGCACCGGTGTGCCCAGAGGATGGAGCGTGGGGTGACCCTCTGGGTGCTGGCGGTGCTGAGCTGGGGTGGCTGGGAGCTGCTGCTGCATCCAGAAGGTTTCTGAAGCAGGGCAAGGATGCTCGGAGCCGGCCGTGCAGATGGAGTGGCGCAGGAGGACGGGAGGAAGCAGGGCTGTGATAAGCACACTGGAGAACCAAATCAGTGACGGGCCCATGGCTATGCCTCAGTTTCCCCCACAGCAGGGCTGGGGAGGTGGCCGTGTCCCAGGGCTATCCCTGGGAGCAGGGGGGCTTCTCCCCAGGCAACCATCCCGGGAGCTCTCCCTGGCTTTGTGCTGCCCCCTCCCCTCTCTCCGGAGCTCCCACTCGGAGCAGCGATGCTTTTGATGCTGGTGCCAAGGCTGAGCTCGTTACCTGGATGATTTTGTACGAGATTCCAGGGGGAAAGCAGACAATTGCGTTTCCCTTCCGCCGTGGCAGGGAGGCAGCTCAGCCCAGCCCTGGCGAGGGGAGCCAGGCCGGGGCTGTGCCACCGGCCTGCTGGGCAACCCTGGGCAAGTTGCTCTGCCTCTCCATGCCTCAGTTTCCCCGTCTGTAAAATGGGGACAAAAATACTGCTCTACCTCACGGGGTGGGTGTGAGGTTTCCTTGGCTGTGATGGTGAAGTGCTCTGGGGGGAGGGGTGCTGCAGAAAGCCTGGGGGGCTCTGTGAGTGGACTCACAAGGGTGTGAGGCACAAAGTGAGCGAGCTACATCTGAGGTGGACAATTTCCTTTACAATGTGATTTGTTCCCTATTTCTCCAATTTGTGGGTGCCTGCCAGTGAAGCTGCAGGACAGGCAGCTCCCCTGCCCCCACAGTAAACTGGGGTTCAGAGCTGAGCCGTGGCTTGCTGTGGGGGCTTGTGCCCTGGCAGAGGTGCTGGAGTGGGAGTTAGGCGAGGATTTGGTGGCCAAGGTGACAAGGAAAGGCTGGGTGCTGCTTTCTCTGGAGATGCTGGTGCACAGCGGGCTGGTCACCCCAGGCTGGGCCCGGGGGCACCACTGGAGCAGGGCTGTGTGCTTGGGACAGGTATTGGCACCTGCCCCTGGCAGGTTCCCTTGGCCATTGATAAGACAGACAAGTGGGAGTCGGGATCCTGATCCTCTCTCTGAGGGTCTGAGGGACCTCAGACTGCGCTCAGCACCTCTCTGTGCTTCAGTGTCCCCACGGTAAGCTGTAAGTGAGTGTGAGCTGGGTGTGAGCTGCCTCTCAGGAGGCGTGAGGCGCCTGCACGGCTCTGCCACAGCCCCGGCGTGGAAGGCGCTCTGGTGCCAGGCGTTGTGACACGCCCGGGGGAGGCTGAGACCTCCCAGTCACCCCAAGAGACCCCCGGCCCGTCCTTGGAGGAGCCCTCCCGCGGGGGAGGACAGCGAGGCGAGGAAGGGAGTTTTTTAAAGACTATTTTTAGCCGTCCTAACCTGTTGGCCTTTTTTAGCCGGCGCGTGGACGCAGCGCCACGTCCTGCCGGATATGCAATGCTGCACTATGCATGGATTTCTCCTCTGGCTTGGTGGGAAACGGCCACACGAGCACTTTTAGGGATGTAACCCCGTGTGCACGCAGGGCTCTGGGGGTGCTGGCTGCCCCGGGGGCTTGTGCCAGCACCGGCGGGGTCCCTGCTGCCACTGGGACTTTGGGGGGCTGCAGAGACATTTTGGGAGGGGGTCCCCCTGGGGGTGTGTGCGGCCACGGACACGTGTGTGTGTCCAAGCACACGGAAAGCTGTGTTGGGAGGAAGCTGCGTGTAAGCACAGGGGTGTGCGCCGGGCTGGGTGATGACTTACAGCACATCTTTGCACTGCAGAGGTTTAGTTAGCTTTGCCTTGAATGAAATAAAGTTTATGTTTACTAGAGAAACTCGCCGTGGTTTGGGGTTGCTCTGGGTGTCTGTTTAGGTCTGGGGGGTGCCTGAGTAATGCTGTGATGAAATAGGATAAAGGCTTAGGAAGCTGAGTGAAAAAACAAATCCTTTCCTTTAATGGGAATAGGGGGACACTGTAGAGCACAAACATAATTTCTCTCTGTACAACAGGAGTGAGCTGACAGCAGCTTGGCCCCCCAGGAGCCATCCTGCCACAGCGGGGTCAGCACAGGGCAATAAATTAATCTTTCTCCGGAAGGGAGCTTGGGCCAGTGAGATTCCTTCACGGGATCAGTGGCCGCCACTCCGAGTCACCCTTTGCCTCCTTGGCTGGGCTCTGGCTCCCTAAATCACAGCTGCCAGCGAGGGTTTGGGAGCCTCTGCTCACCTTCCGTGGCTGGAGATCCACGGCCCTGCTGCTGCCAGAGCAAGGGCAGAGGGATGGGGAGGGAGGCTCGGGGCGAGGAGCGACCTGTTCCGGCAGGTCTCAGAGCTCCGACTGCGAGGAGAGAGAGGCACAGAAGCAATTGAAAGCTTTGAGAGGGCAGCCAAAAGCGAGAGGAAAGCAGCTGTGTCCTTCGGGAGGCAGCTCAGCCGAAGGGAGCTGCTGTCCCCCCGGGCAGGACGGCACCACTGACCCTGCGCACGGCGGAGATCCAGTCGAGGTAGGCACGGACGCTGGTGTAGACGCCGGGAGTGCTGGGGGTCCCGCAGCCCTGGCCCCAGCTGACGATGCCCACCACCTGCCAGTGCCCGCCCGAGTACAGGAGGGGCCCGCCGCTGTCCCCCTGGCAAGGACAGACCCTCAGATGGCCCCGCAGAGCCCTCGCAGCAGCCGTCCCCAGACAGCTCTTCCCTCAAAGGAGCCGTATCAGGGATGGGTTTGGGCTCACCCAGCCCCGTGCCCAGCCCGGGCTCCCACCTGGCAGGTGTCCACACCGCCCTGGGGCAGGCCGGCACACAGCATCCTGTCGGTGACATCGCCGTGGTAGGCGGCCAGGTTGCAGCTCCTCTTGTCGATGAGCTCCACCTCGGCCTGCTGCAGGCGCTCCGACAGCTTCCCTGGGTGACACACGGCCTCTCAGAGGGACCCGCGGCCAGGAGGGACCCTCAGCCCCGCTGCTCCCACCGGCAGCACTGCGGGCTCTGCCTCGTCCCTGTCACCCCCTCGCTGTGCCACTCACCGTGCTCCTCTGTGTAGCCCCAGCCGATCACCCACAGGGGTGTACCCGGCACCAGCTCCTCATCGAAGTAGGGCAGGCAGATGGGCTTGGTGCTGTCTGCAGAGGAGATGTGAGGGGGGCTCGCAGGGAAGGGGCACACACCGGCTGGGGACAGCCACCAGCTGGGCACCCCCTCCCTGCTCCAGCACCCGGTGCCCGTGGGACGCTGCCACGCCGGGCATCGCCATCCCAGCCCAATGCTCAGTGCCAACAGGGGACACCTGTGCCACCGCCCCAGGCAGGGCTTTGCCAGACCCACCTGAGTCACGCACGGGGGAGCGCAGCTTCACCAGGGCGATGTCGTTGTCCTTGGGGGACGCGGGCGTCACCTCCGCCAGGAACACCTTCTCCACCGCGATGGTGGCGGCGCCCGACAGGAGGTCCGAACCGGCCTTCACACGCCAGCTCTGGATGATGGGGTTGTTCCTGTGCACAGACAGCGCTGTCACCGCCCGTGCCCCGCGGGGACGGGCGCAGAGCCCCGTGGGCGCCGATAATTCGGGGAGATCTGAGGAGCGGCGCTCACGTGAAGCAGTGCGCGGCCGTCAGCACCCAGCCAGGCCCGATGATGCTGCCCCCGCAGATGTGCTCCCTCCTGTACTGCAGGCTGACCTGCCAGGGCCAGGCCTCGATGGCGGCCGGGCTGCCCCCCAGCACCCGCGGG